CCCCAAAACCCCAAAACCCCAAAACCCCAGGTATTGCAATAGGCGCTGAATCATGAATCAATATATAATATGAAGGAACTCAGAAGGAGCTTTGATAGCCCTCAGAAGAAACCAGGAGTAGGAATTAAGGAAGCTAGGGGTGACAATAGAGAAAAAGGAAAGACTATAGTTGCTTGAGAAGAGTTTTGGCTGTGTAGTAGAGTTTTCAGAGTTCTTTCATAATAATTGGATTCCTCTCTATTTTAAGTGAATAGAGTTATTAAAGTTAGGAAAATAGTAAGCTTTATAAGAGTAATAATTCAATAATTTAAGAGTTCTATTAATTTTGTAATTTTCTAAGTCCTCTTTTGGGGTTCTTAAAATAATTTTCTTCAAATTATAGATGGAAATTAAATTAAAAAAATTGGAGGTAGAAAATATATAAGTATGTCAAACTTCAACAGATTTATAGAATAATATCCAAACTTTATTATACTTCAAGAATCAGTCTTGCTCTCTGCTGAATTCTACTTTATTGACAATTAGGAGACTTTTTAGAACTAAATTTTAATTTTAGAAACTTTCGATCAATTTTTGTCCCTAATTTTGATTTACACAAGGCACTTTAAGAAAGTTTTGAATCATTGATATTAAAATATGTCGACGATTCTATCAAAGCCTGTGATACGTAAGATAGCATATCTAGGCTTCTAAACCAATAGCCATATAAATTTATTCCATAATTTATAGTTTTTGAAATTTCTTGCTTAATAATCGGGAGACTTCGTTATTGTAATATGTACTTGAAGCCTTAGGTTTTGCTGACTAAATAGTAAAAGAAATCTGACAAATTAAAGGACAAGGAACTTTTCAAAATCTTTCTGATACTTTTAAACCGATATATGAACTTGTTGAGAATTCAAAGAGAACGAGAAATAATGGTTTACCATATAAAACTTTACATACTTATTTTTAAACACTATCATAGTATTCTAAAAGCTTCTCTCATCTACTGAACTCTTCAATCGAACCATGAAAGACTTAGCATAACCTATTCCCTCATTTAACCACTAAGAAGCTTCCTATGTTTTCTTCTCTAGCTTTCTTACTAAACAATTATTCACAAAAAATTGAGTTTATAAATTAATATCGAATACTGGTCACTAACTTAGAAAGACTATAAAGGAATAAAGTATTAAAATTTCAAGAATCTAAACAATGAATCAAAAAGAGCTTAAGTAATTCCCTTAAGGATAAGCGAGTTTATAAATAATTTTATGGTAAAATTAGATTATTGGCGGCAGAGAAGGAACCTCAGACTGGCTTAGTAAAAGAGTTAGAATCTTCCTTTGATGCTGTCCAAGATTCTGGGGGATGATAGCTTTTGACATACTTTGCACTTTTCCACCCAAGATCAAGACATATCTTTGTTTTTGTTGATGGTGTTTGGATAACTACAAGATGAACAGTTCTTCAAGTCTTTAAATTCTTTCAAGCGCTTGGCTTTATTCATGAGGTTTATTTTCTCAACTTGACAACCAAGTCTTGGAGTTGGAAGTATAATATCAATTTCATCATTTTTATTGGCTTTTGGAAAGATCATACTAAAGCATACAAATTTATCTTTGCTATATGATTCTCTTGCATTTTTGACGTGGCCTTTGTCAACCAAAAGAATGTTTTTGCTATTGTGCCATTCATAGACACTATTCTTTAATGGAGACTCTCTGCATTGATCAGAGACAACTCATTGAGAGTCATCCCAAGAGTAATTGTTGGATAAGTTCATAATTATTAATTTACTAAATTATTAAATCCAACTTTACTTTTAGATAATGGGGTTTTGGGGTTTTGGGGTTTTGGG